GCTCTGTTCCATACGTGACTTCTGTGAAGAAGGCATGTTGTTGACCGGTGGTGCGGGTTCTCGTTCTCTGGATTCCACTGGTGCAGATATTGCCGCCGGTGACAGCGTTGCACTGCATTTTTCGGTGGCAACCCCGGTAGGCCAGGAGCACTTCCGTACCCAGGCAAAAGTTGCTCGGGTATTGCAGGGTGGCAACGGTCTGGGCGTTTGTTTCGAAAGTGGCCTGGGCAGCCGCGCGTATAAAAACCTGGTCGACTTTGCAGTAGCTGCCGGTACGGCAGCGCCGGAAATTGATGAAGCCAGTGTAGATGATCTGCCTGACGTGGCCCAGCCGGGGCAGTCGGCCCCAGGTGCTTCAGCAAAGACCGAAGGCGCTCGACGCGGCCCGACCGCGCAACAGCCGGCAGGATCGAGTGCGCCCGGAACGAAAGGAAAAAAAGATGAAGCGTTGCGCGACCCGCGCCTGCCCGAAGCTGCTGCGTCAAAACTAACTCTGCGTGTGCAAGCGGTTACCAAGCGGGCTTCTTCGCGTCTTGCGGCAGGGTTCTGTAAATCACTTGCTCAAGATCTGCTGGTCAAAGCCCGGGATGCCGGTACCAATGCGGTGCAGACACGTTATTTTGAAGCCCTCGATGCGGTAGAAAAGTTCCAGGAAGTTTTTGTTGGAAAATTTGTCGGTGGCATGCTTGCGCAGCTTGATCAGGTGTCCGATCTCGAAGCGGTGTTGGAACGCCGTCGCAAACGTGACACAGGCAATCAGAAGCCCGGCAAGCTTGAGCTGGTCGACACTCAGCAGTTCGAACAATGGCTGCTGGTGGCTGAAGAAATTTCCAAAACTGAAAATCGTTTCAAAGATGCGCTCCTCGACATGCGCGCTCAGTTCGGCCTCATTGCCAAACCCTGGAGCCACAAAGACGTCATACCGGTGGGCCCCGCGGCGTTCTGGTGGTCGTTTGATGATGCCCAGGCAGAGTTCGGTTTTCGTGATGATCTGCGCAAAGAAATCTATGGGCTCTACGAAGCAGAGCTGCATAAAAACCTAAGCAACTTATACGAAGCGTTGGGTAAGTTGTTCTCGGACAGTGGCCAAATGCCTGCGTTGGAAGAATTACGCGAAGCGCTGCAGCCAAAGTACACGGTGCGTAACCGCGCCGGAGTCAATGTCACACCCCAGGATTATCAGGACATGGATCAGACCATGCGCGAGGTCGCTATGGCCGCGGATGGGGTTGGCGCTGGCAGGGTAGATGAAAATCCCTTTGTACAAACCGGTGGTGCGGGCAGTCCAGCTTATAATACAGCACGAACCATTCTGAATCTGAAGCGCCGCACCGAAGAACTGTTGGGGCGCCCGCGAGAGCCATCCCTGGCGCGCCCTGATGCTCGCGCAGACGAAACCTATAACCCGGATGACATTATTGAGGCGCTGGGTGTCATTCAATCCGAACTTGGCGATGCGCCGCTGTCTGATACGCGCTTAAAACCCCGATTAATGGAAGTGCTGCAGCATCAGCACGGCGATCAGAAAGGTTTGTCTGAAGACATTTTTGACACCTTGCAGGTCATGGAGGGTTTGGTTGGATCGTTGACAGACGACAAGCTCATCACGGATGGCGTGCGTGAGTGGGTGCAGCGCCTGGAAGTCACTTTAAATAAACTGGCTGCACGCGACCCCGGCTTTCTGGCCAGCGACCCTGCCAACCCCCACAGTGCGGTGCAGATGCTGAACCAGCTTGCTCGTCTGGGTAACAGTAACGACGTCAGCCAGGGTATCGAACGTGAAGTTGGCCGCCAGGTAGACGAGGTGCTGCAACGGGTTGTCAAAGACTACGACTCGAACCCACAGATATTTTCCGACGCGGTGGATGAACTCCATCCACTCATTGATCGGCAGTCGCGCACTTACCGAGGTAATGTCGAGCGCACCGTTCGTGCCAGCGAAGGTCAGCAGAAACTCGCACGGGCTCGCCGCGCGGTTTTGAAAGAAGTGGAGCAGCGCATTGGTGGTAAAAATGTCCCCGAGCTGATTCTGGAACTGCTGAACCCCGGTTGGCGAAACCTGATGGTGCATACCCATCTACGGCACGGCCCCGACAGCAATGAATGGCGTGATCAGTTGTCGATGGTTGATCAGCTGATGGGTCAGTTGAACGGCAGCATTAAAGAGGATGACGCTGAGTTCATCGAGCCTGACAGGTTGTTGCGCCGGGTAGTTGAAGGCTTGAACAGCATCAGTTTTGATCCGAGTAAACGCACGCCTCTGATCATGCACATGTCCAGTGCGCTGGTGGGTGATACCACAGGGAAAAAGGCGCCGGTCAAAAACGTAGCCGTGAAGGCGCAAGAGGTTGAGCAGGCCCTGGGTCTGGATGGCCTGTTACCCGAAGTTGATCCACAGATTGAATCCAGCGACGAAGGTGTACGTGACAGCTGGAGTCACGCTGTTGAGAGGGCTCGACGTATCCAGATTGGCGAGTGGCTGGCCGCCTCTGATCGAGATGGCCGACCTTTGATTCTGTCAGTGGCCTTTGTTGGTGATGATGCAGCATCGTTTGTGCTGGTCAATCGCAAAGGTGTGAAAACGCTTGAGCGCAATCTCAAAGAAATGGCGGATGACCTGCATCAGGGGCGCATCACGCTGCTTGACGATTATGATCTGCCGCTGATGGAGCGGGCTTCCCAGCGCATGCTGGAAAACATGCATAATCAGCTGGCTTTCCAGGCCAGCCATGATGATCTGACCCAGCTCATGAATCGCAAAGAGTTTGAGCGGGTGATAGATGCCAGCCTGGCCCAGGCAAAAGCTAAAGGTAACCAGCATGCGTTGCTGTATCTGGATCTGGATCAGTTCAAAATTGTCAACAACACCAGTGGCCACAAAGCCGGTGATGAACTGCTGCGTACCATTGGTGAGGCTTTGTCTACCGAACACGGCAAAGATGATCAGCGCATTGCGCGTCTCGGCGGTGATGAATTCGGTCTTCTGTTAGAAAACGTTGAGAGCATTGGTGCCCGTGAAGTGGCTGAGTCTGTGCTCGAGACGATTCGCAATGTTGCGTTTGAATGGGAAGGTCGTAGTTACAACCTGACCGCCAGTATGGGTCTGGTATTTCTTGATCAAAGCACCGACAGTGTTGATTCCATCATGCAGCATGCTGATGAAGCCTGTTTCTCTGCGAAGGATGCCGGGCGTAACCGCGTGCAGGAATACGAGCTTGGCGACAAGCAGATGATGAAACGTCATGGTGCGATGGAGTGGGTGACGCAGTTGGATGCGGCATTGGAAGACGATCGTCTTATTCTCAACTGTCAGCAAATCCAGCCAATTAATGGCTCTACCGACGTTAACGATGTTCACTACGAAATTCTGCTGACGATGTTGGATGAGCTGGGTGACGTGGTCGCGCCTACCGAGCTGATTAATGCGGCAGAAACCTACAATAGAATGACAACCATCGATCGCTGGGTGATACGTAATGTATTGCAGTGGATGTCTGACAACCGCAGTGTGCTGGATGATTTTGGCGGTTTTGCCATCAACGTGTCTGGCCACTCTGTCAATGATTCAACGTTCCCGGACTTTGTTCTGGAGCAGTTCGGTAAAACCCAGGCGCCAACCGCGAAAGTTTGTTTTGAGATTACTGAAACGGCCGCGATCGCAAACCTCGATAATGCGGTGGATTTCATGAATCGCATGCGCATTATCGGCTGTCGTTTCTCGTTAGATGATTTCGGCACCGGACTGTCGTCGTACAGCTATCTGCGCAACCTGCCGGTTGATTACGTTAAGATCGACGGCGTCTTTGTGAAAGATATTGCAGAAAACCCCGCTGACTATGCTGTTGTGCGTTCAATCAATGAGATTGGCCACTACATGGGTAAGCGTACGGTGGCTGAGTATGTCGAAAATACACAAATCCTCGACAGCCTCAAAGAAATCGGTGTGGACTTCGCCCAGGGTTATGAGATCAGCAAACCCCGCCTGTTAAGTGATCTGCGCGTAACCGCCTAGCCTGCGCGTCAGCGTCTGTTCAGTCGCTGACTTTTCCGATCAGCAGAAACTCGAGCAAAGCCTTCTGACTGTGCAGGCGGTTGCCGGCTTCGTGGAAAACTACTGAACGTTTGTCGTCGAGTAGCGTTTCACTGACTTCTTCGCCACGGTGAGCGGGCAGGCAGTGCATGAACAGCACATCTTTGTTGGCCTGATCGAGTAGATTTTCGTTAACTTGGTAATCAGCAAATGTGCTGCGCCGATCAGTTTCCTGACCCTCATGGCCCATGGACGACCAAACATCAGTGACTACCAGATCAGCCTGGGCGACGGCCTCTGCCGGGCTATCGACCAGTTGTGCATTATTAGTACTCGCAAGGATCTCAGGGTCCGGTAAAAACCCCTCAGGTGAGGCGATTTTCAGATTGAAACCCCATTGGCGTGCTGCGTTGATGTATGAGTGGCACATATTGTAGCCATCACCGATGAAGGCAACGGTAGCCCCATTGATGGGGCCGCGAAGTTCTTCGAATGTCTGAATATCAGCTAACAGCTGGCATGGGTGTAACAGGCTGCTCATGGCGTTAATCACGGGAATTGATGCGAACTTCGCCAGTTGTTCAATGTGAGACTGTTCCAGCGTACGTATCATGACCACATGGACCATTTCGGATAACACCCGAGCGAGATCTTCAATGGGCTCGCCACGGCCAATCTGTGTATCTGCTGTATTCAGGAATAATGCGTTGCCGCCCAGTTGCGAGAATCCGGCCTGAAAACCAACCCGGGTGCGGGTGCTGCTCATTTCCAGAATCAATGCGCCGGTTTTACCGACCAGCGGCTGGTAAACCACCTGGCTCTCATGCATCTTACGCATCTCACGGCCACGCTGGATCAGGTACTGCAAATCTTCGCTGGGTAAATCGAGTAAAGACAGAAAATCCTGTTTAGCCATGATGACAAACCTTGTTCAGCTGTAGAGTCTTGGAAAGTAAAGCGCGCTGAGCGTTTAAGATTGTACCAGCGCGACGATTTTTGCGGTGAGTTCGTCCGCCTCAGCATCAGACATCGTCAATGGCGGTAACAGCCGAATGATATTGCCCTGTGTGACGTTGATCAGTACTCGCTGCTCTAAGGCCTGACTGACCAGTTCCGGCGCGTCCTCATTGAGTTCGACAGCAATCATCAGACCGTGTCCGCGGACTTCGGCAACCCGGTTGTTGCCGTTCAGGCCTGCCTGCAGACCGCTGACAATGCGTTCACCGAGGGATTCAGCCCGTGCGCACAGATTGTGCTCTTCAATTTCATCCAGCACGGCATTGGCTGCCGCGCACGCTAACGGATTGCCACCAAAAGTAGAACCGTGATTGCCAGGCGCAAACAATTCTGCCGCTTCACCCCGTGCAAGACAGGCGCCTATGGGCATGCCGTTGCCCAGACCTTTGGCGGTAGTGACCACATCGGGTAAACAGTTGGTGTGCTGGTAAGCAAAATATTTGCCGGTACGGCCATTGCCGGTTTGAACTTCGTCGAGCATCAGTAACCAGTTATGCTCGTCACATATTTTGCGCAGCTCAGAAAGATAGTTAGCGTCTGGAATATGAATGCCGCCTTCACCCAGGACCGGCTCAACAAATACAGCAACCACGTCGGGATTGTTTGCGGCAATCAGCGCAACCGCGTCGATATCATCGTACGGCGCACGCACAAAACCAGACAAAAGCGGCTCGAAACCAGCATGTACTTTACGATTTCCCGTAGCGGTCAGCGTCGCCATGGTGCGCCCGTGAAAGCTGCCATCCATGACGATGGTGGTGGGTTTCTTGATGCCTTGGCGATTGCCTTTTATGCGCGCCAGTTTGATGGCTGCTTCATTGGCCTCTGCGCCAGAATTCGAAAAGAAAACTTTCTCCATGCCTGACAGCGCGCATAAGCGGTCGGCGAGCTTTTCCTGCAGGGGTATCTCGTAAAGATTTGACGTATGCGTCAGTGTTTTAGCCTGTTGTGCAATAGCGTCCGCAACACGCGGGTTAGCGTGGCCGACACCAACAACGGCAATGCCTGACAACCCGTCCAGATAACGATTGCCTTGCGTATCCAGCAGGTAGGTGCCTTCGCCACTGGCAAAGGCAACCGGCAAACGAGCGTAGGTGTTCATTAAATGATTCACAACAGCACAGTCCTGGGCATGATTAAAGTGATCTGCATGTGTTTTAAAGTCTGAACGCACACGTCAGAAATACAAAAGGCGGCACGTATGCCGCCTCATCCAAGCGTGGGACGATACTCCAGCCGCATGGCTGGTTCAAGGGTTACAACGCGTTACTGTTTTGCCTGTGCCAGGCTTATCGCGTGGCTTAAACGGTTCAGGCCCTGATCCAGAGTGGCGCGCGGGCAGGCAAAATTAAAACGAATGTAGTCTGCATTACCAAACTGCGCGCCGGGAGAAATACCAATACCGTGCTGAGCAAAATAGGCTTCTGTATCTTCCAGACCGAGGTCTGCGACATTTATCCAGGCAAGGTATGTGGCTTCCAATGGCGTCAGTCGATCACCCACACACGCCTGCACCGCTGCCAGATTACCTCGCAGGTATGTCAGCAGGTCCGGTACCCAGCTCGAACGATCGTTGAACGCAACTTCTGAACTCAGAAAACCCAACGGCCCAATGCCGGGTAATAAACCTGCCCGTGCACGCATGAACTGACGCCGTAGTGTGTCGTCCGGAATCACTGCGGCGGCGCAGCTGATACCCGGGATGTTATAAATTTTGGTCGCGGCATATAAATGGATGATCCGCGGAGCCAGAGCGGGGTGGAGCTTGCCTAACGGTTGGTGGGTGGTGCTCGGGTCGAGCAGGATATTGCAGTGAATTTCATCGCTGACCAGCAACAGGTCGTGTTTTTCGATGAAATCTGCAAGCAGGTTCAGTTCGTCGGTATCATAACAACGCCCGGTAGGGTTCTGTGGATTGCAGATCATCAGCATGCGCGTTTGTGGTGTAAGCGCATCAGTCAGAGCATCAAAATCCATGTGCCACTTGCCGTTTGTAACCTGCATGGGCACTTGAATTTCACCCAGGCCCGCGTTGCTGGCTACGGCCAGAAAAGGATGGTAGACGGGGGTAGGTATGAGAATCTCGCTGTCGGCGGGCAACGTGCGTGCGCTGAGATTCAGCGCCGGTACCACGCCAGGCACCCAGCATACCCAGCCAGCAGGTACGTCCCAGTTATAATGATGGACAAGCCATCGCTGAAACGCTTCGGTCAAACTGTCTGGCTCTGTGGTGTACCCCAGAATCGGGTGATCTAGCCGTCGACGCAGGGCCTCGAGAATCAGTTCCGGTGCAGCAAAATCCATATCTGCGACCCAGAACGGCAGCACATCCGGCGCAAATTTTTCCCATTTGGTACTTTGAGTGTTGCGTCGGTCGATAACCTGATCAAAAGTGTAGGGCATGAGTGATTAAGCGGATTGTGTCCGAACTGGTCTTTCTAGGAAGCAAAGGTATAAGCAATTTCGTCGCAAATCGCTACAATAGACCCAATTTTTTTCAACGAGTGTTTGCCATGTCTGAAGAAGTTGTGAGCGCGATCAAGGCGCAAATTGCAGATAACCCCATCCTTTTGTACATGAAAGGGTCACCCCAGGCGCCGCAATGCGGATTCTCAGCCCAGACGGTGCAGTGCATGGTGGCGTGCGGTCAGCGGTTTGCCTACGTCGACATATTGAGCAATCCGGAAATCCGCGCGACCTTACCCGGTTACGCCAACTGGCCTACTTTCCCGCAATTGTGGGTTGGCGGAGAACTTGTTGGTGGCTGTGACATCATCACTGAAATGTTTGAATCCGGCGAATTACAGACTCTGCTTGAAGAGAACGGTGCCGCTGATCCAGCGCCTGAATAAAGCGCGCTTCAATTGGCTGGAGAGGTTGGCTGACCGTTCATCACCACGGGGTCGAAAGGCCAGCCATTGACCATTTGACAGAATAACTGCGCGGTGCGCTCAGCATCATAGGCGGCGTCGTGGGCCAGGCTTTGATCGAAGCTGAGGCCCGCGCGCTGGCAGGCTTCACTTAAGACCGTATGCCCATAAGCCACCGCAGCTAAACTTGCCGTGTCCAGACTGGTGAACGGGTGAAAAGGATTTCGCTTCAGATTATTGCGTTCGCACGCGGCTTTCAGAAACCCCTGATCGAAGGAAGCGTTGTGCGCAACCATGATGGCCCGATGGCAGCCGTGTGTTTTCATCGCCGTGCGCACCAGCTTGAAGAATTCTTTGATGGCAGCACGTTCATCCAGTGCCTGACGGTGTGGATCATCCAGGTTAATACCGGTGACGCGTAAGCTTGCCGGATTAACTTCTGAGCCGGCAAAGGGTTCAACATGCCAGCGCGTCTGGCTGGCGACAGACAATGTGTCGGATTCCCAGTTCAGGAATGTGCAGGCGAGCTCCAACAGCGGGTTGACCGCGTTGTCGAAGCCACCTGTCTCCAGATCCACCACAACCGGCAGATACCCTCGAAAACGCTCATTTAGATTCATCCCTCCACCTTAGCAACTTGCCACCGGGGCTCAAGCTATTCCGCTGTTGGCCGATAAACCAAGGTGTGAACTTTCAATTACCACATCGAACATGTTTAAGCGCCAGGCCACGGGTCTCTGGCGCCCTGACCCCGCGTCTGCACAAATGGTGCGCCGTTGCAGTCCTGGCCTGCCTGAGCACGTCCATCGCTGCTGCAGAGGTTATTCGCTTCGCACCGGCCTGGGACGAGGGCTGGCAGCACAGCGAGCGTCAAGGTACCTGTATTCTTGCGCTTCCCATTGTGGCCTATGGCGAAGCTCGATTTGTTGCAGATGGCATTGAGCCAACAGGCTTTGAATTGCAGGCAAATAAAGATATGCACAAAGCAGGAGCATTATCTGTCCGCAGCTATGCGCCATCCTGGCATCCGGAAGCGCCGGCGCGGCAAGCCCTGGGTCGCATGACCCATATTGAAGGTGGTGGTGCGGTTGCGCGTACCGCTTTGGCCTCTGACATGCTGCTGGCTCTGCAACAGGGATTGCATCTCGAGTTGGCGGGTACCGCATGGTTTAACGATGGCTCTGAAGTGTCGATTGAGCTTGCCGCTATAAACATGCGGTCTGAATTTGCATCTTTTCTGGCCTGCGCCCAGACGAACATCAAAGTGGCGTGGCATACGCTGTCCCGTACGCGGATTACCTACGACGTCGCACAGCATCAACTCAATGACAATGGACGGCGTCAACTTCGAGCGCTGGCCCAGTATGTCCTGCAGGATCCAGCGGTGGATAAGGTTTTTGTAGATGGGCATACCGATAATAACGGCAGCGATCTGGCTAACCTGAAACTTGCTGAAGCTCGAGCTACCGAAGTGGCTACCTATCTGCAGAACCAGGGCCTTCGCGCAGAACAGGTTGTGGTCCGCTTTCACGGCGCAGCTTATCCTGTAGCGGATAACAAAACCGCCCAGGGACGCGCGCAGAATCGTCGCACCACGGTGCGTCTGGAGCGACAGTCCTCTGCACAGCTGGCGTCGAACTGAACAGCTCAAGACCCTTTCCCGGCAACAACTGGCCTTGCAAACTCTCTCGACTGCACTAAGATTGCGCTCCCATTTTCAACGGGTATGTGCACGTGGCGGATAAAATGAAAATTGTTCTGGCTTACTCCGGTGGTCTGGATACGTCAGTGATCTGTCGCTGGCTGCAGGAAACCTACAACGCCGAAGTGGTGACCTTTACCGCGGACATCGGTCAGGGTGAAGAAGTTGAGCCCGCGCGGGCTAAAGCCAAGGCCATGGGTGTGAAAGAAATCTTCATCGAAGATCTGACCGAAGATTTTGTCGCCAACTATGTTTACCCGATGTTCCGTGCCAATACGGTTTATGAAGGTGAATATCTGCTGGGCACCAGCATTGCGCGTCCATTGATCACTCGCCGTCTGGTTGAAATTGCGCGTCAGACAGGTGCTCAGGCGGTTGCCCATGGCGCAACCGGGAAAGGTAATGACCAGGTGCGTTTTGAAATGGGTGCCTATGCACTTGATCCGGACATAAAAGTTATTGCCCCCTGGCGGGACTGGGATCTGAATTCCCGTGAGGCCTTGATGGATTTCTGTGAAAAGCATCAGATTCCAGTGGACTACCAGCGTGGCGCAAACAAGTCCCCCTATTCCATGGACGCCAATCTGCTGCACATCTCTTATGAAGGAGGTGGTCTGGAAGATCCTGCCGCTCCAGCAGATGAGGATATGTGGCGTTGGACGGTGGCACCGGAAGATGCGCCGGATGAACCTGAATGGCTGGAAATCGAATACGAACGGGGTGACCCGATAGCCCTAAACGGGCAGGCTCTGACCCCCGGTGCCATGTTACGCACATTGAATGAGCTGGGTGGCAAACACGGCGTGGGACGCAGTGATCTGGTTGAGAACCGCTATGTGGGCATGAAGTCCCGCGGTTGTTACGAAACACCCGGCGGCACAATTCTGCTCAAATCCCATCGCGCGATCGAGTCAATCACGCTGGACCGGGAAGTTGCACATCTCAAAGACGAAATGATGCCTCGTTACGCCAATATGATTTACAACGGCTACTGGTGGTCGCCTGAGCGCAAGGTTTTGCAAGCTTTGATTGATGAGTCACAGATTCCGGTAAACGGAAACGTTAGCCTCAAGCTCTACAAAGGCTCAGTTTCCGTTGTGGGACGTAGTTCTCAAAGTGACAGCTTGTACGATGCCGATGTCGTCACGTTTGAAGATGACCAGGGGGCGTACAACCAGGCAGATGCCGGCGGTTTCATTAAATTGAATGCGCTGCGTCTCCGTCTTGGTGCCAAACGCGGTCGCGACTACTCCTGACCCGGATACATAAGCCTTGCAAACTTTGTGAAAGAGCTGAGCATGGCAAATTATCAAATCTTGTTTAATGGAGAAGTCAGTAAGCAGGCAAGTGTTGATGCTGTGCGTGAAAATCTTGCCCGGGAACTGGGGCTTGATGAGCGTAAAGCCAAACAGTTGTTCAGTGGCAGGACGGTAGTCATTCGCAGTCAGCTGGATCATCAGCAGGCGGAAGCCTGGCAGGCGAAACTTGCGCAGTTTGGCGCCATCTGCAGAATCAAAGACCTCTCCCCCAAAGGTAAATCTGTACACTATAAAGAAGGCAAAGACGCCGAGCAGACCTTACGTGACATCACTGCAGCACACCTTGAATGCCCGCGTTGTGGTCACATGCAACTGGATTCCAGTCACTGCGCCCGTTGTGGTGTTGATCTGGAGCAGGCGTTTAAGCTGAAGCGGAAAGAAGACCTGCTGATTGAAAAGAAGCTCCGCGAGCTGCGTGCCAAAAAAGAAGTCAGCCCGGGTCAGGCACCACGTGCTGCTGCTCAAGGCCACGCCAGACCTGATTTCGGTTCGGCCCAAGCAAGTGGTGACAACGCGGCCAGTAAGGTCAAAAAAGGTGTGCTGCGCTGGTTGAATAAATAGTCCCCGACGCGTTTACGGCTTCTCCATTCAGCGAGAGCCGTTACTTCTTGTCGCGCTCGGGCTACCATGAAGACGTGCCTTTGATGAGTGCTCTACGCTGACTAATTCTGCTTCTTTGCCTATAGGCGTATTTGATTCCGGCATGGGCGGATTAACCGTGCTCGCTGCGTTACGCAAACACCTGCCGGCGGAAAACTTTGTTTATCTTGGTGATACCGCCCGCCTGCCTTACGGCACCAAATCTCCTGCGACAGTAACCAGATACGCAAGCGCTGCCGCCACAACCCTGGTGGATCGAGGAGTGAAAGCGCTGGTGATTGCGTGCAACACGGCATCCGCGTTTGCATTGCAGGCCCTACAGAAGCAGTTTGCACCCTTACCCGTTTTTGGCGTGGTTGAACCTGGCGCCCAGGCCGCGGCGTTGGCCGCCCGCCAGGCAGCTGATGGCAGCGGCGTGCTGGTATTAGCTACCGAAAGTACAATTAATGGAGGGGCTTATCAGCGGGCGCTGATGACAATGCTCGCCGGGCAACCTGTTTACGGCAGAGCCTGCCCATTGTGGGTCACGCTGGCAGAACAGGGGCCCGTCGATAGGCAATTTGTGCAAACCGTGCTGGCGCATTCATTGCGCGGCTTTACCATTTCCGGGCCCAGTACGGTCCTGCTGGGTTGTACCCATTTTCCGGTTTTCCAACCCTTGTTACAGACGTTGTTCGATGAGGTCACGGCCTCGGGCGAGCGAGATGGAGCCGTAATTATCGTGGATTCTGCTGATACCACCGCCAGATGGGTGGTGAATCAATTGCATACACAGGATCTGGTGCTGCCTACCCATGCCCGCGGCGAAGTTGAATACCTGGCAACCGATGGTGTGCCACGCTTCAAATCTGTGGGCGGTTACTTTCTTGGCTCACCCATTGATGCAGTAGAACTGGTCGACCTGTAACTCTGCGTATTCAGGCAATGTCGGTTTTATCTTTGTATTCACACAGATCTTCGATGCTACAGGCGCCGCAGCGTGGCTTACGAGCGATGCACACGTAGCGACCATGCAGGATCATCCAGTGGTGAGCATCGCGTTTGTACGCCTCGGGCACTACTTTCAGCAGTTTTTTCTCCACCTGCAGAACGTTGCTGCCCATGGCAATTTTAGTGCGGTTGGACACTCGAAAAATGTGTGTGTCGACAGCGATGGTGGGGTGACCAAATGCTGTGTTCAGAATGACATTTGCGGTTTTGCGACCGACGCCGGGGAGTTTTTCCAGGCTTTCGCGATCCTCGGGCACTTCGCTGTTGAATTCGTCCATCAGGATTTTGCAGGTTTTGATGACGTTGGCTGCCTTGGTATTAAACAACCCGATGGTTTTGATGTACGTCTTCAATTTGCCTACGCCCAATCTGTAGATGGCTTCAGGGGTATTGGCAACGCTGAATAAAGGACCGGTGGCTTTGTTCACGCTGACATCGGTGGCCTGCGCGGACAATATCACCGCAATCAGCAACTCAAAGGCGCTGTTGTAACTCAGTTCAGTGGTCGGGTTCGGGTTTTCCGCCTGCAGGCGTGCAAAAATCTGTTCGCGCTTAGCCGCATTCATGTTTGAGATCCTTCAATTTCGGGTTCGCTGGCGGTGGGGTTTCGTCGGCCCAGAGCTTTTATCAGGGCAAACATCAGGCCAGCTACGATAAACGCGCCGGGTGCGTAAGCCGCCAGCGGCAGTGGGCCGATATCCATGAGCTGCAGACTCCACTGCTGGGCGTTTGGGCCAAAAAGCAGGTCGGCATCCCGTAACAGCGAACCATACGCGAGTAACTCTCTGACACTGCCCAGAGCGATGAGTGCGATGGCAAAGCCCACCGCGGTGCCTAGTGCGTCCAGACAGGCTGGGCCGACGGGTTGGCGGCTGGCAAACGCTTCGGCGCGCCCCAGAATCATACAGTTGGTGACAATGATCTGCACAAACAAGGCAATTTTCAGGTAAAGCTCGTAGCTGAAAGCTTCCAGGACCATTGTGGTCACGGTTGTAAACGTTGCAATGATCAATACAAAACAGGGCAGTCGAGCCTGCTCTGGAATGTGATGGCGCAGGCTAGAAATCATCACGTTGCTACCGATCACAACAAAACTGCTGGCAGCCGCTAATCCCAATGCGTTTACCACGGTTGTGCTTACAGCCATTAACGGGCACAGGCCCAGCAGCTGTGCCCATGCAGGATTGTGGGTCAACACCGCGCTGCGTAACACCTGAGTATTATCCCCCACAGTAAATCTCCAGTCTGTTGAATATCTCGCTGGCAGCCCGCTTAATGGCGTTGCTGGTGATAGTGGCGCCACTGACGGCATCCAACTGCGCGTATGCCTGTGCACTTGTGTTGTCTAATTCTGTCATCCATGGACTGCGTGTGTGATCTATAAAGTCGCCAATGCCTGGCGTCTCCCGATGAGCGATGACGCGCATGCTGAGGCCTTGCGTATCCGCAGATGCCTTGCCCACGCGCCACAGAGCTGTAAGGTAAATTGGACCAGCGTAGCCCGCAGTTTCGGCGCGGGTGAACAACCAGGTTGTACAAGTGCCAAAAACGTCCGCCTCGATATTGGTTTTCGCAGGCAGCGGTTGTCCCAGCATTTCTTCTAGCAATGCCCGCGTCCGCGCCTCGCGATTGGCCTGAATATCTGCCGCTGTGAATTGATTGGTCAGAATGAGCAAAACCCCGCAAAGACCGCCGATGATCAGCAGGGGCGTGAATACTTTCAGGACCATGACTTTAGACATGATCTGCCTGACGATCATTTTCTGTCTTCGCTTTACTTAGATTAAGGCGGTTCAGCAGGGGGGTTAAACAGTTGGCAAATAGAATGGCAAACGCGATGCCGTCCGGATAAACGCCAAATCCTCTGATTAAATAGATGAGAGCGCCGACTGTGAGCCCGAAGATGATCTGCTGACGGTCTCCGCGAGGATGGGTGACCGGATCTGTGGCAATGAAAAAAGCGGCTGCCATAAATCCGCCGGTCGTCCAGTGAAACCATGGCGAGCCCAGGCTCGCCGAAGAGCCTGCGTCATATCCAAACAAGCTGGCTAACAGCAACCCGGCAAACATACCTGCTGGAATCCGCCAGGCCAGGAGCCGACGAAAAGTAAGTAGCAGGCCACCGATAAGAAAGCTGAATACAATCAGTTTCTGATCGCCGATCGCCTGGCCAAAGGCAAATACAAATTCTTCGGTGGTTAATCCCTGGCGATAGCGAAATTCGGTTAACAAGGTGGCGCCACTCAAGGCATCAGGGCTGGCCTGAGCAAGCCCGGGCCAGTTGGCGAGGTCCTGGGGGAATGACACCAGGACAACAGCGTAGCCCACCATCGCCGGATTAAAAAGGTTATGCCCGAGGCCCCCATATGCCTGTTTGGCGAGACCAATGGCAGAAACCGCAGCGATAAGCAGGATGCTTATGTCGCAGAAAGGCGGCAGGCAGATGGCGATCAGCCAGGCAGTGACCAGGGCGCTGCAATCCTGCAGCTGGTGCAGGACGTCGGCAGTAGTTTTGCCCCGCGCAAATCCGATGAGACCCTCGCACAGCACGCAAGCCAGACTTAAAATGGTGAGATTCCACAATACGCCAAGACCCAGGACATAGGTCATGGCAACCGTTCCTGGTATCAGGGCGATCATCACCCAGAGCATGATCTGATGGGTTTTCATGACCATCTTCCAGCTTTTTTCAGACGTTCCGCGCGCTTGTCAGCAGCTGCTGCAAGCGTCTGTTGTTCGCGTAGCTGATGAGCCTCATAGCGCTTTTTGTAGTGAGATTTTGCCGCTTCTGCTGTCTCCTGGACTAACAGTGTTTGTTTGGCGCCGGCGAACAGTCGGGCCATCGGAATGTCGCTGGGGCAGGCGCGGTCACACAAACCGCATTCAATACACTCGTTTAAACCAAATTCGACGGCGCGGTCCAGCTGTTGATGAGAGACAAGCTGAAATAGCTCCTGCGCCGGTAAATCCACCGGACAGACCGGATTGCAGCGGCTGCAGTTGATGCAGGCCCGGGGTCTGGCCACGGTAGTGGGCTGACGAGCAGGTCGCCTGCGTGGTCTGGGTTGCACGGCTGGTTCGCCAGTAATGGGCTGTAGAGAAATACAGTCAACAGGACAGGCCGGTATACACAGTTCACAGCCTGTACATTCCGCTTCAATGACCGTATGCATGAGATTGCCTGCACCGACAATGGCGTCCACCGGGCAAGGTGGCAGACACAGGGTGCAGCCGATACATCGGCTTTCATCAATCACGGCAACCGCAGGTGGATTCTGTTGTGGGGGCGGTTCATCTGTGCCACCCATCAGCTCAATCAGTTGCAGGTGTACTGAACGTCCGCCAGGGGGGCAGAGATTCAAGCTGGCCCCTTGCGCAATGGCCTGCGCGTACGGGCGACACCCGGGATAGCCACATTGCGCGCACTGGGTTTGAGGCAGCATGGCATCAATTCGATCCACCAGCGTTTGCGGATTACGTGGATAGCGCCGTTGTAAGAGCAGGTGCGCACCGGCAAACAGCAGCAGGGCGGTTATCAGTAATAAAGGCGTTAACCAGCTCACCCTGCCAGTCCCTGAAAGCCCATGAATGCCAGACTCATGATGCCGGCACTGAGCAGTGCAATCGGCACACCCTGGAAAGGTTGCGGAATGCCCTCGTGCTGCAGTCGTTCGCGCATGGCACCAAACAGCACCATCACCAGGGTAAAGCCGCCAGCGGCACCCACGCTGTAGACCATAGTCTGCAGTAGCGTCAGGGATTGATTCACTGCCAGCAGGGCAACTCCCAGCACCGCACAGTTGCTGGTGATCAGGGGCAGATAGATACCCAGCAGCTGGTGCAGAATTGGCGACGTGGCTTCAAGGTAGTATTTGACCAGTTGCACAACGCCGGCAATGACAACGATAAACAGGATGATGCGCAGATAGGTCACTTCTAACGGCACCAGAATGCCGTGATAAAGCAGGTAGGACAACGTGGCTGCCAGGGTCAGCACAAAGGTGGTGGCCAGGCCTGTTGCCAGGGCGGTGTCGTACCCCCGGGTAATGCCCATGAAAGGGCAGAGGCCTAGAAATTGAGCCAGCACAAAGTTGTTGACCAACAGTGCGCCTATCAGCAGAAGCCCGAGCTCAGCCACGATCTAGGTGCTCCTGGGTTCGTTAGCTGACATCCATGCCAGGGGTGGCGCCACTATCCGGGGACAGCAGAAAGATCTCCTCACCGCCGGGTCCAGCGGCTAACACCATGCCTTCAGATACACCAAAGCGCATCTTCCGTGGCGCCAGGTTGGCCACCACAACGGTGAGTCGGCCTACCAGGTCCTCTGGGTTATAGGCTGCTTTGATGCCAGAGAAGACCTGACGCTGGTGATCCCCAACATCCAGTGTCAGCTGCAGAAGCTTGTCGGCGCCTTCCACCGGTTCGGCAGCAATCACTTTGGCCACTTTCAGCTTCACTTTGGTGAAATCATCAATGCTGATGTGTGCATCTTCCTCACGCTCGGCAACAGGTGTCTCCTCGGGCGATTTTTCATCATTCGGGCTTGCCTGTGCGGAGGCTGCAACAAGTTGGTCAACGGTTTTCATCTCCATGCGCGTCAGCATCGATTTAAAAGCACCGATGTTATGGCCGAGCAGCGGGGTACTGTGGTCGGACCACTGCAATGCCGCAACGTTGAGGAAAGCCTCAGATTTCAGCGCCATTTGCGGCAGGATTGGCTTCAGATAAACAGCCAGGCTGCGGAACATGTTGATGGCCTGACTGCAGATCAGCTGCAGGTCCTCATGCCGTTCGGGGTCTTTGTTGAGCTTCCAGGGTTCATGCTGGGCAATGTACTGGTTAGCAAGGTCTGCAAGGCGGGTGATTTCCCGGACCGCCTTGCTGGTATCGTCACCTTCGTAGAAGCCGGCAATGGCT